CTGTAATCTTTCTGTCTCATTACATCCAAATTTATTCTATTTTCAGGACAAACACAGCTAACTCTGTGTTGAGTTATTTCTTTTCCCTCTCTCATGCCTTCAGACTTCAGCCCAGAAGGTATTTCGTCCGTGGCCACTGTGCTCTATCTCTCCAGACTGATTGTTTGATTGATCTCCTGCATTCACCTGAAACCTATTGTGCCAAAGCATGTTAAACCCCATGATTTGAAAGCTTCAGACTATCCTTCAATAAATTATTGTTTTGTTGGTGTTCTTTTGGTTGGCTACAAGATGTAACAATATGGATCAATATAATGACAGTGGACGGATGTGGACAGTTTGATATTGAACTGGGGAAATTGTATTTGTTCAGTCAAAAATGAGAGTCTTAGGTGCCGATTTTCATTTGTAAGTTTACTCTTACAGTACTAAACATAAAAAGCACCATGGTCATATGATATGAAAAACAGACTAAAATGTTGCATTATTTGCTGAACATCCTCCCCTCTGCTGTAACTCTCAAATTTTATAATATATATATATATATATATATATATATATATAAATGTTGTGCATCAGGTATGGTACTGTGCATGTGAGAATCAATGCCGTTTGGGGTCGTTGATGTTTTTCCATGGAATATTATCAGTGAATCATATCTCTATTTTATAGATCATGACCTAAAAATCATTAAAATAATGTGTACAAGCTGTATCTACTAGATTTCATTTGTTTTTTATTGTTTTTAGAGCTTGACAGTCCCATGGTCACGATGCTTTGATTGCTTTGATTCACATATTGAACAGAATGTCAACATAAAACACTGAACAGAATTAAATTAAGGTTTATAGTAATGGAACTTTGCAAACTATACATCTCATCTCAAGTATAATTTTGTGTGCAAATGAAAAGTGCTTTCAGAAAAAAAAAACGAATTAACTTCCCACTGTCAATTCAAGGTTTGAGTTTACAGAAAAGTGATGAAAAATTAAGATCTACTCATCTACTCCAGCCTTTTAGATCATTTTAAAAGGATGAAAAGCAATGTGATATTTCATTCAAATGAATAGCTAATATCAGGTACAGGTTTAATGAGGTATATTGTCATAGCTAATGAAGTTTCATTTTTAATAAATAGCCATAATTCATCATTAACTCATAAAATGACTCTTGGCATATTTTTACATATTTTTCTTGACATAGGTTAATGTCTGTTCTTAAGGTTTATGGCATTATCAGAGCTGTTCCCAGAAAACACAATGCGTGTTTGGGGTTGCTGAAATATTAAAAGCAAAGACATTAGATTATGCTCAGCGGTAACCTTTCAGAATTCCCAGAAATGCATGAAAATGCAAAGTATTAATGATTCTGCCTGGTATCTATTAACCAAAGCTCCATTATATACATAGAGACACAGAATGGTACAAATACTAACTCAGGCATATTTTGTGAGAAGAGCAGATTTTTGAAGATAATATTTTTTCAGGAAACCATTGGAACGACTCTTATTGTTTTCTCCCACATGTATTCTACTTTGTATGCATCAACCCCCTTCAGTTGAATGAATGCAGTGTCATATAATTGAAGAATGTCATTTCAGTACAAGAATTCTGTCTTTTGTATAGAGATACTCTGGTGGTTGATCGGATTTTGTTACAAATTTCAGATAAACACTTCAATATTCATTGTCTAACTTGGTGTACAACTTCAATTCATTTATAATTCTATAATGTATAGTACTGGAAATGCCATAAGCAAATAAATAGCATGCTTGTCTGTGGAAAACTGGGAGAATTTATTGGTGTTGCTCTATGTATATTGAAGAAAAATATGCTACAACAATGGCAAAAACAAAATGGTGTAGAAACAATTTTCACTCAGAAACTGCTAAATTTCATGATTAATTATGACAAAAAACAGCAAGTAACACATTGAATTAAATGTGAAATTTTCAAGTAGAAATACTGAAACTATATTTTCTCCAATAACTTTCTAAGTTTAATAAGTTTCTTCTGTTCAACACAAAATAAGTTATTTTGAAGTAAGTTGTAACCAAACAGTTACTGGTAACCACTGACTTCCATAGTAAGGTGATTAACATCAACTGTTTGGTTACCAGCATTTATTAGAATATCTCAGAATCTTTTGCAATGGCCAATATCTGACAAGTTCATTCAGCATACTCAAAGAGTATTTTATTAAAAGTAAAAGTCTTAGGAAACAACCAAAACAATCTCATGTTCGACTGGTGAGTGTTTATTGTTTGATTATCCATTGAACATCAGCATCAGCCTCCACTGATGCACATTCCCATAATGTTTATTTTTTAGTGATGTTTGAGATTCCAGCAAGTGTCATTTTGTGGTTGTAACATGCAAGACCAGTTTCTGATATGTGTGCTGCAGAATTGTAATTTCTGTGTGCTTCTGGAACACAGAAGACCAGGAGAAGCATATCATAAATGTGACAAAACTTGAATGTAAATTTTCTTTTTTACGGGGTTCTCTGGATTGCTCAACACTGACATTCTGTTGTGAAATATTGTGTCATGACAGATAAACATCGTCTCCTACATTGTGCTAGTTTTATGTCTCTTATGAAACCATATCTGCACTATATATATTTTTACTATAAAACAAGACCTGATGGAAAGGCACTATCTCTGTAGTGCCTTCATACCCCTGTGTGAAATCAAACAAGCATGATATTTATGGGCTGGTTTATTGTATTCATACCACACAATTCCAGTGGATTTTATCAGATGAATTCAACATTTATGTATAAGTCTAGAAAGCAACCTTAAATGATTGCCAGTGTGGCATGTTTATGCACCACTGAGGATTTAGTATCAGTTAATGGAGTTTAACTGCGGTGTCAGGTGCAGAAAGTTATGGTTTTTAACAGACATGACCATGTCCTTTTAATATTGAGTGCAAAGGAATAGATGATATGGTGTATTTTTAGCTGAACCATGGGTGTGCTTATGGGCAAAGCATTCAGACCCACATCAATGCACAGAGCAGTCACGTTTTAAAGGGGTCATATGATGCTTTTTTAACAAAACAGTAGCTGATTCAGAAGCGCCAGATTGTCATAGCAAAGTCAGAATTACCTCCTCTCCTAGGTTCACGAAACGGTCGTCCATAAAATGCATGTCAATGCAAATATAGTGTACAAAAATATCATCTCTTACTTTTCTAACCCTTTCCAGCGTTATACATTAAAAAAAATTATATAATATAATGAATGAGTAATACATTTTATATAAAGTTGACTATATAATATTAAATTCATTTTACATAAATTTGTCTCTAGGTTAGTCAACTCCAAACGGCTTTTGAAGAAGTTGTTAGATATTCACTTTTTTATTTTTATTATTCATTTATCTTTGCACTATGTATTTTTACAGTGAGTTCAATAAAGACAAGCGTGTTGGCTTAAAGCCATGTATATATAATGTGTGTGTGTGTTTACATTAATACAAACCATTTGCTGAGTGCAAAGGAAAAAAGCTTAAAGTACACCATTTAGTGTAGATTAATTGAATCACTAATATATGTCAAATTGTGCCCTTATATATTTATTTCTATTTCATCTATGCAGATCAACAATTCACTGTGTAGCCAACTTTTGTAGTCTCCAAGTGAGAATCTGTAGATTTTCCTCAAAGTGTTTTCCTGGAAAATAGTCTTTCAGTCAAACAGAGCCCTGCAATCTCCTGGAGAAATTACAAGTTCAGCTGGCAGTGTGTTATTAAGGCGTCGTGATTACTGACAGAGGCTTGTCACCCTCTAATAAAGAAAAAAAGAGTTCCTGGCTGAATGTTGTTCTTTCTCTCAGTCTCTCCTGACATATATGTTCCCCTCTATTAAACGTCACAACTTCTTTTTCTCATGCATATCTGAGAGACGTTTACAGGAGGAATGACTGCAACAGCATTCATCCTGTCAAAAGCACTTCAGCTGTTTGTGTCCATAGCAATTTCAAGGCAGGTTCAAAAAACAAACACCACTTCATACACGTTATTTTTAATGTGCTTCGAAAGCATGTCATGATGTCAACATCCGCTTACAAATACATAAACAACTTGAACCATATCTTAAGAATATTTATTAATTACAGTTCAATTTGCCTTGTACACATCATTCAAAGTTATCACTGAGAAATGACAAATTGTACATTGGTTTTTTTTTTTGTTGTTGTTGTGCTATTTAATCAGTAATATTCGGGATATTTTGAGATCACCGCTATTGAGTAGTGTTCAAATAAATCTGGTGGATTTCTTGTATTTCTAACACTTGGTAAACGTCATACAGTCATTTCCATTCATTGTGTCCAGGTTCATTTCAGAATAAGCCATCTCTTCTAAATCCATATTGTTTCCATTCAGGTATATTTTTTTCAAACTTATAAGTTGTTAAAATACAGGTAGACATATAAACAAATTCACTAATATAAATAAAAAAACGTGTTAATAGTAAATTGAATAGAGATCCACTGACTGTCGCAGTGATGTAGTAACAGAAGTCTCTCAAGCGCTCAACCCTAATAACAGTTAGCAATTAGCAGTAACTTGCAGATCTATAAAAATTATTTCCTGTTTTATCTTATACATTTTCACAGGTATTTTCTGACGTTATTATTGCATACTAATTGGACTGGATGGTATTCTTTAAAGTACCATGTAGACTACTGTTCAAAAGTTTGGGGTCAGTAAGTTTTTTTTGTTTTGGACCAAAAGTCAGAATAAAGATGTTTCTAATGTTACCTATATACGCTGTTCTTTTGAACCTTTTTTTCATCAAAGAATCCTGAAAAAATATATCACCAAATATCAATTCAATTGCCATCACATGAATAAATGAAATTTTAAAATATATTCAAATAGAAATATGTTTCCCAATATTACTGTTTAAACTGTATTTTAAGCAAATAAAGGAGCATAAGACACTTTTCAAAAACATTTAAAAAAATCATACAGACCCCAAACTTTTGAATGTCAGTGTACATATGTTATATGAATATGGTTGTTATTCAACACAATAGGTATATATCCAAATAACATTGTATTACAATCTGACACCATGGTACTTATTTGTAAGGGTGGATGAGGGAATGTCATGCTGAATCATTATTAATGTATAATTACTTAACCTAAAAGACTCTCTATTGTTAAATTAGTTTTTGTAAGGCATTGGGGCCCTGTTATCTGCCAGTCAGAGATACGTTTTAGAAAAAAATTAATTAAATCACATCAAGTCTGGAAATACTGTGTATGGACATTCAAACACCTTTTATGTTTGAAATTATTGCAAAATGTTTCAAAAACAAACATCTAACGAGCAGCAAGTTACCATTAAAGATGACATGAACTAACTTGAATGAACAAGATGCGCTAATTCATACAGCTTCATGTTTATGATGAAACCTGATGTTGTTTTATTGTCTTAATGGCCTCTCTCACATCTTTCTTCAGCCGAGCTTTTTTTTCTCAGACTTGAAACTGATCCTGAACCAGCAGTCGAGAAAGTAACAAACCACTTTTTGAACATATCTGTCACCAGGCTGTTACCCGGTTTGCACCTTGTCTTCCTGGGCCCATGCTGGACTGTGCCCACTGGCTAACTGGGTAGCCGGCATACAGCGATGACTCTTATATGTGCCTAGATGCCTGAAGCTCCGCCCACACTGGTAGCAAGAGTAGGGCGTAGCGCCGCTGTGAATGCGCATGTGTGTGTATAAGTTGCCCAGCTCTTTAAATCTGCGGCCGCATTGAGGACAAGCGTATGGACTCTCTCCCGTATGCACACGCTGGTGGCGTTTCAGTCCGGACAGTACTGGGAAGCCCTTACCGCACTGGGGGCAGGGGAAGGGGCTCTGGGCTCCGCTGTGGCTGAGACGGTGGCTCTTGAGACGCGCAGCGTGCCGGAAACGCTCTCCGCACTCAGGGCAAACGAAAGGCTTCTCGCCGGTGTGGATGCGCTGGTGCTGCCGCAAGTTGCCAAGATAGTTGAAATGACGGCCGCAGTCGCCGCACTCATAGCCACCCTCCACTTTCTTCTCCCGTGCTCCCCGGCCAACAGGTCTTTCTGGGCCTCCCAGAGCTCGGCCTGCCTCGGCCTCTGCATGAGAGGAAGAACTGCCCGGGGCCGACTGCAGAGTGCTCTCGTCATGATGCATGAGCTTGATGTGTTCCTCCAGGAAAGAGGCGTCAGGGCAAAGAGTTCCACAGAAGGGGCAGATGAAGGTGTGAGAGGAGAACTGCTGACCTGGAAGGGAGAGTCAGTATAACAATTAATATTTCCAAATCACACCAAAAGGATTTAAAGGGAGCGTTCGTGCAAAACTGAAAATTCTGTCATCTCACCCTCACTATCATGTTGTTTTAAACCTGAATGGCTTTCTTCCATAGATGGAGTTACTATCATTGCATCTTTTTTTTCATACAATACATGGTGACTGAGGGTGTCGTTCTGTCTAATGTCTAACATACACTACCATTCAAAAGTGTGGGGACAGTCTTTTTTTTTTTTATTTGGCAAGGATACATATAAATGATAAAGACGTTTATAATGTATAAAAGATTTCTGTTTTTAATAAATTCTGTTCTATTCAACTTTCTATAAATCAAAGAATCCTGAAATGTAGTATCACAGTTTCCACAAAAATATTAAGCAGCAGAACTGTTTTCAACATTGATCATAATAATAATAAAAATTGATTTCTGAAGGATCATGTGACACTGTAGACTGGAGTAATGGCTGCGGAAAATTCAGCTTTGCCATCACAGAAATTATATTTTAAAATATATCAAAATCAAAAACACATGTAAAAAGTAATATTATTTGACGATATTACTGTGTTTTTGGATCAAATAAATGCAGCTCTGGTAAGATTTGTTTCAAAAACATTTGAATTCTTATAGACCCCAAATATACTAGCCAGATGCATACAAACAAGGGATTATAGTTTTTAAGGGTATAGACGTAGTGATCAGTAAAGGTTTTGATCAATATAAATACCAATTTCCAGAGAGCACAATGGCTGATAGTAAATACATACATATTACAATTTAAAATAACAAGAAATCAAAATTGATCTACTTATAGACATTTTGTTTACACCATTTAAGCAAACTAACATTACATTTTAGACACCATTGTGGTATGTTCAACCACCATCTGAACAATTCCTGCCCAACATTTTCTCTACAAAAACACTAGTTTTTTTATTCTTCATTGACAAGGCTGTTGGTAATATTTGGAGCACAAAGACTAAAGACTAAATATCTGTAACTAAATTGCTTAACTTACAGTAAAAATAACTTTCAAGGTAAAGATCAATTAATTAATTTAATAAGAAGATAAAGATCAATTAAATGTTCACATCAGGGTTAGAAGTGCAGAACACATAATGCTTCCCAGCTGCATTTATCTAGAGTTCATGTGAAACTGCCACATTCCTTGTCTTTTACAACACTGACCTGACTCCACTCTGTCCACACTGTCCTCCGCTGGGCTGCTCCTGTCTTCCCGCGGGGAGCCCTGAGTGTCCAGAGGAAAATGATCGGACACTGACCTCAAACTTGCTCTCCCTCCTTCAGAGTCTTCAGTGTCATCCTCCTCATCCACAGTGGGAACATCTTCGCATTTGGTTTCATTATCACCTAAAGAAGCACAGGACAACAGGGATAAACTGGGTTTTGCTAATTTATACATACAATGTTCAGCTTTAAATTTTGCATTTTTTCCCACCCTTAAACACCTTTTATATGTCAGCAGTCAGTAACTGAATTCATTGTATAACTGAAGCGAGGTAGATACAATTAAACTTTATGTAGCGTATTTAAATTTCATACAAGATCTGACATGCATTGGTGAAATATTAAAATATTACAGAATATTGCAGCAACAACAGCATTTGAAAATAAAAAAAAACATGTATGCATGCTCAATGCATGCATACCAAAACACATGCAACCTAAGGGCAACTATAAACATACAATATGCAACTATGTATTACAAAGAATGCATACTACATGTAAATATGTACACCATACATTAATGCTATATGCATCTAGCATAGAATTATATCCATATATATGTATCCTATAATGCATGTAATTTATTAAATGTATGCAATAAGGCAATTAATGCATACTACAAGCACACATATAATGGATGCATATACATGCATACTATGGGCAACTACACATATAAAGCATAAATACTATACACATGCATACTTTACACAACTACATTCATCTATATACTATAATGCATGCATACTATAAACTGTAGGCAAACATATAAGACACACTGCATGCATATACTATGCAACCACATTCATACTATAATCAACAAGACACATACTAAAAAGAAAACATATCAATACATATACTATACAATACTATATGCGTCTATGCGCTACATATTGCAATGCATGCATACTTTATACAACTACGTGCATCTATATACTATAATGAATGCATACTTTAGACCAGTGGTTCTCAAACCTGTCCTGAAATGTGCAGTGACAAAATGTGCAGTGCTTGGGGTACTTCATGGAGAGATTTGAGAACCACTGCTATAGACTATATGCAAACATATAAGACACAATGCAGGCATATTATATGCAACCACATTCATACTATAATCAACAAGACACATACTAAAAGGAAAACATATACCACAATACATGAATACTATATGCATCTACCGTATATACATATTGTAATGCATGCATACTATATACTACAATCCATGCATACTTTGTACAACTATATGCATCTATATACTATAATGCATTCATACTAAAATCTCTATGCATATATAAACTATATGCATGCAAACATACGTAAGATACAATGCATGCATGTTATATACAACTACATGCATACTATAGTGCGTGTCTGTACTCTAGGTTATATGATTAAGCAGTACCTTTAAACTCAGCTGAGTTGAGTTCGACCCCTGTCATCCACTCGTAGTCATATATGCGCTTGCTGGCGGACGGCAGCATGCTGAAAATGTCCGAGTCAGCGTCGGTGTCCGCGGGACCGCTGTCCGTCCACAGGCTCAGAGACGCGTGCGGCTGCGGTTCGGTCCGCATGTCCCGTTCGGACCCAAAGGCCTGATTGCTGTGGTCGCTCTCCACTTCAGCAGCACCCCGCTGGTTCTTATCCTTCATCAGATAGTCGCAGATCGCGTTGATATTCTCCTTCTTAACCACGGGCGTCCCGGATTTAGCTTTCTTCGGGTCGGCGCTGTATTTCTGGCCTGTTTGATGCTCTGCTTTCCTGAAGTCCAGGCTGCTGGAGTTAGAAACCCTCCCATCTTTCTCCGTGGACTCCAGCTTGGCTTTCAGCAGCTCGATCTCGTCGGTCTTCTCGCGGAGCTCCATCTTCAGGACTCTGATCCGGACGCTGACCAGCTTGCGTATCTCGGACAGCGCGGACTCTAGCACCACCGTGATGTTCCTGCCCAGGTGCTCCGTGATCTCGGTCACCGAGCACACCAGCTGCTCGTCGGGCTCGAGCTCGGAGAAATCCTCCTCGTCTCGGCTGAAGGACCTTGTGTTGTCCATAAACGCGGCCTGGGACTCCGAGGACGGCCCTGTTTCCAAATAGCAGTGGTTTCTTTTTCGGTTCATGCTGAAGAGCGCAGGCACTTAGCGCAGATGGGACAGTGTTTTGATCGTGATGTACACCGAGGATGCAGAGACACCATAGAACACCAGACGAACTTCCTCCCACTTCGGAAGTTGAGATTATAAACAGCGCCCCCTACAGAGGCATCCTGTAGCTGGAGACAAACTTGGATAGATAGATAGATAGATAGATAGATAGATGGCAATATGCTTACACAGTACGAAGTGTAATAGGCCTAGCTAGCTAAACGTATTTTTTGAGGTCATGTAGTGATAAACTGGTGTATCCTTAAAGGGATAGTTCACCTAAAAATGAAAATTACCCCATGATTTACTAACCCTCAAGCCATCCTAGGTGTATATATCTTATAGTATATATTTTTTAAGACAAATACAATTGGAGTTATATTAAAAAATGTTCTGGCTCATCCAAGCTTTATAAAGGCAGTGAATGGGTAGTAATATTCAATGGTCCAATAGAAGTCAAATAAAGTGCATCCATCCATCATAAAAAAGTGTCCCACACAGCACTGGGGGAGTTCATTAAGGGCTCCTGAAGTGAATCGATACGCACGTACGCCTACGTCATCCGCTGGAACGCCACTCTCTCCGCACGTACAATAGTTAGCAGAAGCTAGAGATTAAGGTTTATAAAGTTTTAAATATGGATATTTTTCTTACAAAAACGCATCGATTTGCTTCAGGAGGCCTTTATTAAGCCCCCGGAGCCGTGTGGGACACTTTTTATGATGGATGGATGCACTTTATTGGATTTCTTTTGGACTATTGAATATTACCACCCATTCACTGCCCTTATAAAGCTTGGAAGAGCCAGGACATTTTTAAATATAACTCCGACTGTATTCGTCTGAAAGAAGAAAGTCATCTACACCTAGGATGGCCTGAGGGTGGGTAAATCATGGGGTAATTTCCATTTTTGGGTCATTTTCCCTTTAAATAACATTTAATATATTTGTCAATTTGTCATCAAAGACTAACTGTGCTGTTAAAAATAGTTTGACTGGCACAACACAGTATATCAAAGCTAGTATCGAAAATTAGAAATGTCTTTTGTTTGGTTTTAGAAGCAGGACAAATTCTGTTTTGTCTAATGGCCACTAGATGTCGCTCTTAGACACGTTTTAGACTTGACTTATTGTACACTTGCCGTACATCTCACTTGTTATAGGTTTGCTTCCTTTCACTCAGTTGGTTCTTTTCCCAATTTTCAGTTGTTCTTTGATGTAAATTTCTTAGTAAATATTTTGACATGTATTCAGATACATGATAAGTATGTGTAATTTGCCATGCTCTTGGTTCTTTCTCTTAAAAGTTCTTCTTTGAAGTATGAAATGATCTCACTAATTACAAAAAAGTTAAAAATAGTTACGACATAAACACAGTGAGCCCACAAACTAGACAAAAATAGATGACTCAAAATATTTTTAAAATGCATTTTTAATAATAATCATTAATTTTTGTGTCTTTTAAAACTGAATCTGTGTTTAACATGTGTTTGCATTTCCAAAAACAAAACATTCCATTTAAAGGAATTAATCTGAATTGGTGGACTAAGTTCCACTATATCTACTGAAACCATTTGCATTTACCTTCCACAACAATTCCCAACTAGTTACACTGATATTCTGATGTGCACTATGATTCCAATATAACACTGAACACAGAGGTTTTTTATTATTATCATTAAATAAAGAATGATCTAAAGTTACAAAATATTAAGGAATAACCTTTTCAGTCATAGGTTACATTATTAACATACACAATATTTTCCACATACACATTTTGGCTTCATATCAGTCTTTGAAAATGTCCAACAAGCAGCTTCCTTCAGACAAACGTTGCTTTGTATTGCACTGTGTCACTCTCGTTGACTTCCAGCACCCCGCTGAGGGGACGGGACGCTTCTGTGGAGGGGTAAATGCCATTTCTCATTTTGTTCTGGCACTGGCGAAGCTCTGCTGCGTAACCCTCAAAGCTGTCCTCCAGAATGACCCCTTCCACACTGACCCCCTTGTCCAGCACTTGGGCTGTTGAAGAGGAATGGTTGTTGACAGCTGAAGTGCACGAGTTTCCTTCTTCTGTACCTGGAGAAAAGTTTGCAAACAAGTCAGTACAGCACATATAAAGGAATATAAAGTGAATGTAGGAATTGGGAACCGGAATCAGATTTGGTTGATTGGTAAATGAAAGTCAGGTTTAGGCTGCATTTTAAACTCCCTGCAAATTACACGGAAATACTCTAAAATACTGGATACATATTTTAGGCAATTGACACTGATAATGAAGTTCAAATTATTTATATGTGACAGCATGTTCTAGGACATTATTATGAATAATATAATATTAATGAATAGTGAAAATGTTCAATCGTTCACCGTTTATTGTTACTCTGGACAAAAACTTGACTGTGAGCAATGTTACTTTGACAATGACCATCCAACCACAAGGTAGCAGTATGTCCTCATTAGCAAATAAATAAATCAATAATAAATAAAAAAATCAGCAAATGGATGGTGTCTTTACTTTATAGACTGTTGGTATATTTGCAAATTAAAAAGTTAAAAGTATTGTTATTGTTATTATTATAAATCTAATCCCTATATTGTAGCCCAGTGGTTCCCAACCCTGGTCCTTGAGGCACCCCAACACTGCACGTTTTGAATGTCTCCTTAATCAAACACACCTGATTCAGACCATCAGCTCATTAGTAGAGACTTCAAGACCTGAAATTGGTGTGTCAGAGAAAGGAGACATGCAAAATGTGCAGTGTTGGGGTGCCTCCAGGACCAGGGTTGGGAACCACTGTTGTAGCCAACCGGTTTAGTGTAAAAATTAGTACAACAAATTTAAAAATGAGTCCGAATTAGGTGCGAGTAGAAGGTTTCTAGTCCATGATCACCATGATCATTGTAAACAGACAAACAGTGGAGATGGAAGAGCTTTCTTCATGTTCATGCTCTCATAGGTTACTGGTGCATTTCATGCAGTCATCTAATTTTAGCAGTTTCAGTAGTTTGGAAAGAATTTCTGTGCAAACACATGCTGTACACAATATCAGAAATGATTGATTATTATAGGATAAACGTTATCAATAATGCTTTGAGGTTTCTGAGTGGTTTCAGGTCTGCAGACATCTGAATCAACAAGGTTCCAGTATATTTGTCAAATGCAATCAAGGCAAGTATGAATGGAAAATGAAGATGCAGAAAAGTAAAGAAAGGGGCATAAAGAAACATGATAACATAGGTATAGGAATTATACACAAGATCACAGGCAAGTCTAGTCTGATTTTGCTAGCATTTATTAGATCTAATCAGATTGGCACAGAATCAACATGATCACTACAAAGGAAACAGGATGGCAAGCAAATCAACAATGCGACTGTTTGAGAGCACTGAATATAGCTTGAATCTTAAAAGTGTATTGTGAAATACTGTTAGAGTATTCCTGCCAGAACAGCTCTGATTAAAGTCTCACATTCAGCATTGTTGAATCGTGATTAGATGGGTAGAGACACATTTGCACAGCTTGTATCAAAAAGAAAAGTCAAAAAGAATAAACAATAAAACGATATGAGACAGTTTTTTAAATGATTATTTACAATCCTCAGAAACACTGTAAACAGCACAGTCTTTATACACCCATGTGAACAATTAAATTACAACATGATCTACAGGGTGTCTTATTTTCATAAAGACGTGTCAAAACAAGACAAATGAATGCCTCGTTAATTTAAAGCTTTCAACACATACACATTACATAGTCCACAGTTACAGAGAAACTGGCTATGATCCGAATAGCATACTAGTATACTGCTCATACTATTTCTGTAGTATTCTGTGTATAGTTTGCACATTTTCTACAAACAGAGAATCTCCAGATGCTACTAGATTTGACCATTTGTGTAGGACAGAGTACAATGTGCAGAATACTATATCCCACAATGCAATGCACTTGACCGGACCCTCTCTTTACTGTGTGATGAACGAACTGGAAGTAAATCTGTGATTTTAAACATCTCTTTCTTGACTCATTATTTCGTAACACTACCAAAAGTTGATAAAATTTCAAAGAAACCATATTTTTTGTGTTTACAACTCAGTGAATTAGTAATTTTATTTAAGTCATGTGACTATGTTTATAAGTGCATAATCCATATTGTGTCACATAAAATTCTTAAAGAAACATCAGGCAGTTTATACTGTAAATACTGGGCAGTATGCAGTACACTAGTATTCCATTTCAAGCACAGCTACACTATCGTTCAAAAGTTTGGCGTCAGTATGATTTCTTAAATATTAAATTCATTCAGGAAAGAAGTTTTAAACTGATCAAAAGAGGCAATAAAGATATTTATAATGTTACTAAACATTTCTATTTCAAATAAATGCTGTTCTTTTGAACTTTCTATTCAACAAAGTATCCCGAAAAACTGTATCATGGTTTCCACAAAAATATTAAGCAGCACAACTGTTTTCAACATTATAATAATAAGAAATGTTTCTTGAGCAGCAAATGATTTCTGAAGGATCATGTGACACTGAAGACTGGAGTAATGATGCTAAAAATTCAGCTTTGCCATTACAGGAATAAGTTACCTTTTAAAATATATTTAAATAGAAAACAGTTCTTTTAAAGTCTAATAATATTTCACAATATTACGGTTTTCACTAAACAAATAAATGCAGCCTTGTAAGCATAAGAAAGTTCTTTTAAAAACAAAAATCTTACCGACCCCAAACTTTTGAACAGTAGTCTATGTAAATATAAATGTGACCCTGGACCACAAAACCAGTCTTAAGTCGCTTGGGTATATTTGTTGCAATAGCCAAAAATACATTGTATGGGTCAAAATGATCGATTTTTCTTTTATGCAAAAATCATTAGGATATTAAGTAAAGATCATGTTCCATGAAGATATTTTGTAAATTTCCTACTGTAAATATATTAAAACTTAATTGTTGATTAGTAATATGCATTGCTAAGAACTTCACTTGGACAACTTTAAAGGCGATTTTCTTAATATTTTGATTTTTTTGCATCCTCGGATTCCAGATTTTCAAATAGTTGTATCTCGGCCAAATATGGTCCTATCCTAACAAACAATCAATGGAAAGCTTATTTATTCAGTACAAATCTCAAAAACACTTATGACTGGTTTTGTGGTCCAGGGTCACAAATATGCAATTATGAAGTTGACACTAGTGAGATCAACACTATCAAGTGTATAAGGTGTCAGGTGAATTCGGGGTGTGTGTTTTAATATTAAATTAATCCATTCAAACATGCCACCCACCACACGCACACACACACAGCCACACTCACAGCTAGTCAGGCGGGAGAAATACCTGGGCTGGGATGCCTGTGTATGCATGGCGGAGGAGTGAAGTTGGCCTCAGGTAGGCTGCCCTCATAAGGGGGCGGAGAGCTTGGCAGAGGCGGAGGCGGAAGCAGAGTGGAGTTAGGGCTGCTGATGTCACCCTCCCCCACAAGAGTCAGGTCACCCAGCCCTTCCTCTTCCTGACTCTGCGGACCAGAGGAGTGTAGGATGGGGGAGAGTGGGGCGGTGAAAGGGGGCGTGTCAGGGCATGGTGCACGGGGGTGTCCGTTCGAGGAGCTGGGTTTAGGAGGTCGGGGGGTTGTGATGGTGGTGTGGCCGGGTTTATGGGTGGTGGGGGTTGAGCAGGCAGGAGGTTGGGATACGGGATCTGGGTCCACACGGAGAAAGTCAGGAAGCACTAGGTCTTCTTTTCTCAGCAAGCCTCTCTGGTCATCAACACGACTGCTCTGAGCACGACTCAACAACTCGAAAAATTCTACAAAAGAAGAGTGTAAACATTATGTAAAATGTAAACACTTATTGTTTACTAAACCTAAACCTCTTTTCATTAAAACATTTTTTATTAAAACAACATAAAAAATAAAATAATATAAAATAAAACATACATTTTATATGAAAATTAAATATATGAAAATTAAAAGGTTGCTTTGACAACTAACTAAAGTTTAGGTACTAAAATTACAAATTAAATGTGGAAAAAAATAAATTAAAGCTTAATAGAAATATTTTAAAAATGAAAAACGACAAACAACATGTATTAACTTAAACTTTAAACAAGAGAATGAAAATACCAAAAATAATATCTAATTCAAAATATTAATAAATAGTATAATACTTTATAAATAATACAAAAATAACACTGGAAAATATCAAACCATTTCAAAGATTAAAAAAAAAACTATTTTTAAGCTAAAAATTGAGGCAAATCTTCATCTACTAGCTTTTAACACAAGTGTGGCTTAAGTCCCCAAATACTTTGACAAAAACTATGGACATGAAAGCACTGTCAGAGAAAAGTGGAAAATATGTACCCTCTGCTTCATCTATATGATTCTTTTTCCCTTTCTTCCTTTCTGACGCAGCTGTCCGGGGATGCTTGTCTTCACCATCTCCTTTCCACGGTTTTCCTGCCGAACTTTCATCTTTCTAGCAATGCAGTAAAGACATATGTAGGATGAATGAATATTGTGCTGAATGTCTTATAGATTGACATCTTCATGAAGGTTTTATTCCCTTTATAAAATATAGGAATTATGTCTGAACAGTGGACAAAGCCATTTCTAATGCATACTGATATTTCAAAACGTAACACAACGATAAGTCATGCATGTACCCACAAGTTCAAGCTCACCGCATCCATGCATGTTTAGAGTTTGTAACATACAGAGAATGTTATTTAGCTCAAGATGCATTTAGTTTCTGATTGATGAATGCAGTTAGAGTATATTGGATATTTAAAGGATTGAAGCAGGCATGACATCTCACACACTACTGTGTTTACTGAAGTCACTCTCACCTCTCTTGGCAGACTTTTCTTGGCAGCTGGTGTTTTGGAGTTGAGTGTTTTAGACTCGTCTGGTAAAGGAGTACAACAAAGCAATTACCCAAAGGAATGTTGAAATGACCTTGAACATAATTACTTGATATTATCAGAGAGAAGTGGAGAACTTGATAGTGCACAAGGCTACGTGTGCATGAATGTGTGTGTTTTAAGAAAACATTTCTAAAAAAGCGTAGAGTGTTTTCTGTTAGGGTTAGGTTATAGTATAACTAGCTGTATTAGTTCCCTTTCGATACTTCATTCGTACTGCGTCTTGCTAGACGTATATGGGAAAAAAAACTTTTTTCTCCTGAACTGAAGCCTATTTCATTCACGCAGTGAAACTGCACGGCCATTAGTTCGTGCAGGGCTTAAAAAACGAACCAATGGCGACGAAGCCCGCCAAAGCCTGCCAGAATGGGCGGGGCATCTGGCTATATAAGCGGGCGCTCGCCACAGGATTCTCAGATTTTTTTCCTTCAGCGACAACTCTACGTCTCAAGCTGATCCGAAGCCGCTCGCCGCTTGACACGCCTTCGCAGCTGGAATCGGGACCTCTCAGCTCGGCTGACCTGCTTCTCCGCCGCTCCAGCGACGCAGCAGTTCCGGTCCGGTTCCCCTGCCGCCATCCGGCGACTTCTAAAAGAGCTTCTAAAAGAGCATCGGCGTTGTTGCAAATACCGCGCCGTTATTGCAGTTCGTGGGGTTCCCCCTGCACGCCGATGATGGCCACACGGAGTGTGTTTCCTGCTTGGGGAAATCCCATGCGGAAGCTGTGCTCACGGGAGCTAATTCCTCTCAGTGCGAGAGCTTTAGTCTCGCCTCTCTCCGCTCACGGATCGCTTTCTTTTCAGAGAGCGACTCCACCCCCCGCGCCCTCCCGTTTTCTTCCTCCCAGGGACCTGTGAGGAAAAAACAGCGGGGCAAAGGGGTCGAGCGATCGGCCACGAGCGAGCTTACGCCATCCGCCGAGTCTGGCCTGGACCCCGCTACCCTCAGGGATCTGAGGAGCGCGACGGACCTGGCTCTACGCGCCACCAAGACCACTGCCCAGGCGATTGGGAGATCGATGGCCAGCCTTGTGGTGCTCGAGCGCCATTTATGGTTGACGCTGACGGAGATGAAGGACGCGGATAAGATCCCCTTCCTCGATGCTCCTGTCTCCCCCAAGAGTCTTTTTGGCCCAGCGGTCGAAGGCTTTGCTGAACGCTTCACGGAGGCACAGAAATCGTCCCAGGCTATGCGTCCATTGCGGATATTTGTGAGGCGGCCGGCTGGGCCTCGCCGTCCACATTTGCAAGGTTTTATAACCTGGAAGTCCCGGCCTTACAGGCCAGGGTCCTTTCCGCTTGAAATGGCACGCACTGCGTAAACGGACATGACAGAGAGCCCTTGGCCGTACCGCGCCCAAGTTCTCTGGCATTGTTCACCTGTTAGCTCTCGACCCCTGGGTGTCGAAGTTACGGGTATACTCTGGAACGATTAACCAGGCCGGGTGTGACCTAGAAAGCTCAACCCATTTTAGCCTTGGGTTATTGTTGACTTCTCTATAAGCATTGGTTGCTTATGGAAGTTATACATTTAAATCGTTCCACTACATTAGCACGGCATGATTGGACTGTTCCCATATGCGTCTAGCAAGACGCAGTACAAGTGAAGTATCGAAAGGGAACGTACTCGGTTACTAACGTAACCTCGGTTCCCTGAGATACGGGAACGAGTACTGAAAACGGTCACTTCAGTCGAAGTAAACCTGAGAATCCTGTGGCGAGCGCCCGCTTATATAGCCAGATGCCCCGCCCATTCTGGCGGGCTTCGTTGCCATAGGCTCGTGGCCATTGGTTCGTTTTTTAAGCCCTGCATGAACCAATGGCCATGCAGTTTCACTGCGTGAATGAAATAGGCTTCAGTTCAGGAGAAAAAAGGCTTTTTTCCCATATGCGTCTAGCAAGATGCAGTACTCGTTCCCGTATCTCAGGGAACTGAGGTTACGTTACTAACAGAGTACGTTTTTTTCTCAAAATGTAAAAATGCAAAAGTTTTCTGTGAGGCATAGGTTTAGGGTTAGGGGATAGAATATAGAGTTTGTACAGTATAAAAATCATTATGTCTATGAAAAGTTCCCATAAAACATCAAAACCCAGCGTGTGTGTGTGTGTGTGTACCTTTGGCTGGATCAGCCCTCTCCAGTACAACTCGTAGGCCATCAAGGTTTGATATGGGCACTCCAAGATCGAGAACTTCTGTCTCTCCACTCTAAAAAGTTCAAACATTTAGCATTAGCCTCTTTTCTCAAGAACTGTGACTTTACAAACTAATTTTAAATATTCTTTCTTTGGCACGCACATACAGCTTACTGTTTCAATTTCAATACAATTTAAGGTTTAAAGACAGGCATGCTGTTGATTACCACAGAAAATCATTTCTATGCATCTCTCAGTTTGCCTAAACATACGAAACTGTGTGTGTATAATAATGCACTCACATTATGACAGTCTATGGGACCAGGCACTGCATCGAACATTAAAATACATACTGTTTTGAAACAGTACCCATAATCAGGGTTTAGACCCTACCTAGACCCTTTTTACTATGGCAAAAGCTCCAGAAATACAGGTGTGCCCCAGTATAAATTTACTGATAAATCCTTATCTGACAGAGGAGATTACCGTATATCGACCTGAGAGAATCATTATACCCATTAATAGTTCAACAAACACATCATTAGTGTTTTCTATAAGCTGTTGAAAATCTGAACTAGTGTTGTCAAAGCCATAAATGAATCACTCTTTTTATCTAATCGGTCAAACGGGTTTGCAATAAGGTCTGAAATTAAAAATGAATCAAACTGAATCGTGAATAGTTCACTCACGCGCTGAATCATTTGCATCGGTTTCTCACACCATAATGGGATGCTTTATACTCCTGTTCATAATATTTGAACATTATACATGTTAACACGAGACTACTTATCAAATTGCTTAACCTTGTCTGTGTACATTTACGATCTGATATTTTTCAAATCCTGTCGTGACTATATGATGTTACTATCCACAAAGTATTATTTGAATATGTAAACTTAATTTACAAGAATTACGGTAACACAAGACTAGAGGTTTATGCACCCTGAACAGTATTAAAGGATATTTTATCAAAGGATTATTTCTGCTTTTCAATCATCTGGAATATCTTGCGCCACCAAACACAGCTTTTGCTTGTTTTTAACAACTCATTTTGAACCCAGAACATTAATCTAGGTACCAAACACTGATATGTGACTGAAATGTTAGCACCTGCTTTTAGCCTAGCTTTATATCTGTAGTTTTAGCTATGCCCCACATGTTAGCATCACATAGATCTTCTTCAGTGCTTTTGAAGGTTAATGCTAAACGTCTGTGCTCTGTGATATAGTAAAAGCTTCATAGACTGGCTAAAAATAAACAAGCGTTCATGCTTTGTGGAGCTGGGAGGTGGCTTTGTTTCAAGCCATTACAGTAATTTCTCTCTGCTTAGTGCTGTCTTCCATTAACTTCTAAAAGCTGGCTCAGATGACCACTGTTTGACGTTTAAGAGGGGAAAAACTGCAGTGTTCCTGCTATACCACATAACTCCACACCCAATGAGACTGAACCAGCTGCATGTACATTTCACATCAGGAAATCCTATTGTTTTAAAATCACAGATCACAGATTATTTTATAGATTTAAATCACAGATTATATGAGACATTGCTATTTTTTTTATAAATTCTGAATTCAGGGTCTGTATTCATGAAACATTCTTAAGAAGAAATTGCTTCTTAACTGCCATTTTCTTCTTATTTTCTAACTTAACTAAATATTTTGTATTCCCAAAAATTCTTCTTAAGAATATCTTATCTTTTTTCTTAAGATTGTTCTTAAGACAAAACTTAAGAATTTAAATTCTTGAAAATAATCTTCTTAAAAATCATCATAAATAACTTCCTAAAGTTAGGATAACCTCAGACTTGTCTTAAATACCAAATGGTGAGAATGATTTACTGAATTTATAGGGTTATTTCAAAGTAATTGTTATATTTAAGCATTACAACAACACTAGCTACATAGACTAAAATACATAGTAGGACTATTAATATCAATGTGCACAAGTTTTTTGAAGAGACACACCAATGATGGATAATGTAAACGATGGGTCATTAATCATTATTATGCGTGACAACTTTTTTCTGAATTTGATATTCATTAACAACTCTACAAAAATGAGTCAGACAAGGCTTGTTTTAATTTTTTGCCTTTAAATACAACATAATCTTATTCAGCGCATATGAACGTGGCCATACACAAGACGCGTTTACTGTAGCAGTTTACTGTAACACACACACAGTACTCGTTCACTCTATGGAGAGCGCAAAATGACGGCGCACAAATGAATGAAACAGATCACTTCATCTTGAGACAGGCTCTTTGAAAGTAACTGTTCAAAAACGGTGCATTAAAAACACCAAGCTAAGCTCTGTCAAGCACACTATGAAAATAGTGTGCATGCTTATGATTATTCATTCTTACAGACTTCTTGGAATTTATCTTAAGAAATTTCTTAACCTATTTCTTAAAAAGATTTTCGTGAATGCAGCCCCAGATCTGTGCTGAGAGTGTGCACAGCAAACAATGCAAAAATATACAGAGTATGCCAGCCATATGTGTAACTGCTCACAGTCAATCACTTACTATTCTGGCAACCAAGTCACCAAGGTGGAGTCCATACTTGGCAACCACAGGACGCAGAACCTCAGTCACAGGTTTTGTGGGCTTTGCTTTCAACCCAACCGATCTGTTAATAGGTACCAGGTCCAGTCTGAATATAGCAAACAGGGTGGATTTATTTATAGTCTAGCACCAACCACAGCACACATTTGTTTGATGGTCTTTCTACATTTATGAGATATGGTACTCTTGGAGAGAACCGATCGTGCTGGTATTGAAGAGAATTTCCTACTGAATATAAAAGTCAAAATAACAACTCCATTTGGGTGCAAATATTTGGTCATTAAATTCTCAGGGATTATCGTGAACTTTCAACCGAGCACCAGTGAAAGAGAGATAATAACAACATGTACCTGAACAAAGTGCGTTTTTCAAGACGAAGTTCTCGGGAGCTGAGAGTAATACTATCTTGGTCCAACACCAAAGGCTAGGCAGGGATCAATGAGAAAAAGATAAATCAGTGACAAAGCTCAAGCTTAGCATTCACAGAAGAACTAAAGGAGACATTATAAAAGCTGTGAAGGGTCTCTCTCTCTCTACCTTCTCTCCTCCAGTGAGGAAGAGGTCGACAGAAGCCAGGTTGATGCGCTGTTTTTGACAGAGCTCCAGCAGCACCTGTCTGATGGAGGCACCCTGTCGTAGAGGAATGGAGCAGCCAGAGCCGTCAGGTAGCATTACTGTACACGTCCTGCTACATCGCTCTTTGTCCTTTTCCCAAACAGAACCAGAACTTCTCAGCTCACACTGCTTTACACATACAAAACATTATAAAACAACCAACGAAATAATTAAATTTATTATGTCAAATTGGAAAAAGTTAAACAACCCCTAAACCTGTGGTAAAATCACTGCAGTGTAGGGCTGTCAAAAAAAAATTAGAATTTCGAATATTCGTCAAATTTAAAATAAAAATCCACATTCAAATGCAAAAACGTTGCATTCGAATTTGAGGTGTGCGTCAGACAGACTTATCAGCGGCACACGAGTTGCGATTACGATGTAGCCTAGGTGTCACTGCATTATAATATTTATGTCAGCCTATCCAGTTGAAACCACTAGATGCGGTGCTGCTGCGTTGTTCATTAAAAATATTGCAGAAAAAGAGAACAATGCAGAGAAGATCTTGTTTACGTCAAAACTCAAACCAAGCCGTTTACACAGAACGCATATTTCGCGCATTTTCTAGAGGGACAGCTATCACCGTTGCACTCGCGTCTTGCACAAAAGAGCCGCATGTTTAGAAAGCCATGTAAAATTAATGCAAGTTTAACTTTGAAAAAACATATCTCGAGACTTTATGGCAGGTTTTTTTTCCCCACCCCACTGCAACTCATGTTTTTAAATGAAAAATGTATTCTGTGTGATTTCGGTCCTTTGTATTAAACTATGCATACATACATGATGCTGTTTTGTTTATAGTTGTTTAAGCAACTTAATTAGGCCTAATTATAATTGGTTTATAAACATTATTTTAAACATTATGCACTTTGAATAAACGTGCATTAGTAAACATTTTGCTCGATGCACCCTCTTGTGGGCTCAGGAGAGAAGCCAAAAGCTTTTCTTCACCCTAACTGAAATTATGCATTTTAAATTCGAATAAAATTCGAATTTACCTTTGCATATCTAATGGATACGTATTGTTGTAACTCTTTAGTGTTCTAAATGGTGCACTCCTAAACTCCCTAATGTAACTCCCAATCTTCTTACCTCATTCTTTCCTCCGGAAGACGAAGTGTTGAGCTCTTGACTCGCACCAGAAGACAGTGAACCCTGAGACTCTCTCCGCCCATTACAGTCTGTCCACGCATATGGATAACCAATCACAACATGGCAGATGTCACATATTAGAATTTACATTAAATTGGTTTTATATCAGAAAATGTTTACAATGTACAAAAAAAATAACTACCAAAATACACTAATTGTAAGAAAGTTAACTTTTAATAAATTACATTAAATTCAGGTTCTTTCTCATTATTTGACTTAGTGGGAGCATATACAGGCTAAACAAGAGCGGTGCAAGAATTGAGCCTTGTGGGACTCCGCATGTCAGTTTTTACATTTTACGAATGTACTGCAAATGCTCTAAAGAACTCTGAAGGCGAACAGAAATTAGATATACAGCTCTCTGCTTGCAGCGTGTCAGTCACGCTCGTCAGGAAAGTGAGTGAAACACACACAAACACACATTTTTATCAAATAATACGGCATTAATAGCGTTCACTTCCGTGATTTGGCACGATTGCGTTCACATCAGCAGCGAACCGTACCAGAGTTCACCTGAACCGTACCCCAGACCACCCTTTTTAAGCAGACTCGGGTACGGTTCGCGGGTGCGCACCCGAGTTCAGAAGACAGCGTTCACATCATCCAAACGTACCGAACTCTGACGTCAATCGAACCCGGGTGGGCACCAAAAGTGCTAGTGTGAAAGCACCCTAAGATGCTATAAATACAAGAAATTAAATAATTACTGATGAGATACTGTTTTGAGACTCACTGTAAGGTAAATCTGGGGCGTCTCTTTTCTTTTGTCCTTTCCCAATACTTGGATATCTGTACCAGGAAAAGAAGCCATTTTTCTTATCTAAGAGTTTCTCTCTGAGGTCATCACTTGACCTGCCTGTTTTGGGTCTCCTGTTTTCCTGTAACACAACATGATACAATCAGAATATCATAGCAGTGAATCAGGCTAAAGCTATAGGAAATGTCAGTATACATTAAGTCCATTAAATGTATTCTGTACAGATAGCATGGAAGTAAGCAGTTGGTAGTATGGCCAAAATGTTATACCATGGAATATTTTATATTATTTATATTGCATTATTTTATATTATGTATATAGTAATTGTATATACCAAAATGTACTTATGTTTGCTGTAAATTCAATAAAATGGATTTAATATTTAATTATATTTTTATATTAATAATAAATATTTTAATTGTTTGATTATTTAATATTATTTTAATATATTTTTCAAGTGATGTAGCAATGCCTATTTTTCATATTAAAGTATAAATACATTAAAATGGAAGGTAGTTGATGCCATTTGAAACAGATGAGATCTATATTAATACAGGAAACCATAGACAACTACTAAAAAAAATCTGGTGTAAATGTAAACAAAAAACATTTCCCCATTACTCATAATTTAACTACCACAAAGCTTTCTTGAGAGATATTGCTGCTGTAGTGAGATTAGTACATTTTTAGGTGTGGAGAATGTGGAACGGTCAGAGGTGAAGCTGTGCTTGGATGGGGCGGGGCTACATGGAATCGGGCAGGGGTCAGGGAGAGGTCGGCCCTCTACCTCAGCCAGCATACACTTCTGATAGAGAGTGGACTTCAGGAACCGAGCGTAACAGTCCATCTTCATCAGGTTAAAGATCTGCAGGGATGAGTCAAGGTTTAATGAAGGTTAGGTTTGCTCAGTCAAACAATGACAACGGCTATGTGAATGTGGGAGTTTAATCATGTGTGTACATCGACCTGCAGCTGTGGCTGTTTGAATATGTTAGGCTGTGGAGCTGTCAGGACATCATCAGCAAGTTGAGCTTGACTATCGATGTTCACCGGCATGGTAGCTTTACTTGAGAGGAAACGATTGTAGATCTCTTTGGCCTTCTGGGACAGCTGAAAAAGGATTCAAATAAGATCAAAAACCTATTGACCTGTATGCTCCTGACTCTTAAAGGATAATTTAGCCAAACAATTAGAATTCTTTAATTATTTAACCACCCTAATATCAATTGAAACACATACATACACTAATGTTATTGTTATCTAAATCTATTAAAAATAATTTCCATTAACTAAAGCTGAAAAAATATATATATAAATATTAGTTGAAAAACTAAATAATTAAATACATACATAAACTTTTTAAAAATATATAAATGTATTGGAAACTAACTGAAAAAAAAAGTTTAAAATATAAAATATTCAAATTAAAATGACTACTTAAAGTATAAAAGCAGCTAATTCAAAATATGAATAATTTCTGTAACAGTATAAAAATAATACTAAAATAAACTGACGTGCTTCATCTTTAAATGTTGGTTTGTTGCTCACACAAAGCTAATAAATGGTTTCAAAACACTTGGAATATAGTGCACAAATGATGCAGACTTCTTTTATGTTTTTTTTTTTCTGTCCTTTTTGGAGTTACCGACTAAATGATCATCTACTTTTTAGTATGAAAAAGAGCAGCCTGGACATTCTGCTTCTCATAATTGTTTTATTTTTCCATGGAAGTAAGTAAGTCGTTAAGATTTCAAACAACATGAGGATAAGTAAATGATTACAGAACTTTCATTTTTGGGTAAAATATCACTTTAAGGGTCATCAACCATGTATGTGTTGCAGGTGATTACCTGCTTTTTGTCATGTTCTGGAACTTGGCTAAAGCATTCACAGGCCTGCCAGAATAAGATGTTTTCCTCACTAAACTCCTTCTTTAGAAACTCCTGCAGGAACATCGAAAAGTACATTTGGTTCTAAACTACTATCCTGTGACATTAATACACTTCTACTTTATGATATGGTGTCAACAAATGAAACAACACAAACCATCAATCTGATATACACAAAGGCTAGCCTGTCAAAAGCTCACAGGCCATAAGAATTGTATTTAGTTAACAATAAGCACATGTCTAAGACACACTCCAGTACTTACAGAAAAATAGCGGACACCCACAGGATCCTGGAGCAAACGCTCAAAGCTGACGGCCCATGATGCAACACGGCGCTCTGAGAAGCGACAATGGTTGGTGATGCTGGGCAGACTACCATTACTTTCCAAACTGCTCACACTGCCGCAGTCATGATGCTCAAGACCGCTGCGCTCTGGATAAGGCAAAGAGTAAATATCACAGTTGAGATGATTTAGGATCAGATTCTTCAACTGTTCTGGTCTGGATCACTAAAACAAAATCACTTCTCTGTTCTGAGATTAGATGTCTTTAATACTGTGGCATGAGGAGAGGAGTGGGAATGATTTTTCATGTTAAGACGACAGTATGCAGATAACTACAAGAATCATCAATGTGCATAATTTCAGTCACTAGTGTTAACAATTAAATAGAAAAAATAATGACTGTTTTCAAACAGGTTTGCTTCAGTTTGAAATTGGTCAGTCAAACTGTTTCACTGCAAACTCACTCGATTGGTTGAGCAAGTGTTGCTGTGTTGGGCTGGTCAGGTTGCTCAAACTAAGTAATGTTGAAAAGGCCACAGAGCCACAGTGTTTACACATTTTGGTAAAATCAATTTGCAAATGCCTTAATGGTAATGGTTTAGGGTTAGAAGAATTTTAACAGAAAAATTGCATACTTTAAAGTGTTGCTGATTTGAATACAACAAAAATGTTGTGATTTGTAAGCAAGTAAAGCTAGATTATATATAACTTGTGCTGTTTTGTATCTTAGTTATAAACAGTTGCGGTCTCTATCATGCATAATATTTGTTTTCCTTGCTCTTCGCTAGACAAGTCCAGACAAACCTCAAAGCTTTCTCTCTAAATATCACTGTCATAACCTGCAAATTAAAGGAAACTTTCTCATTGGCCTGCTAACAGTTTTACTGACACTTTTTGCTTCTGACATGCCCAAAAACTTTCTCTCTGCACTTTGACCTAAACCAAAATCTTTAAGTGTAACTTTCTGTGCGAGATTTGTTGTAAGGTCTCTAAAGAAAAAATAAAGTACAGTAAAACAGTACTATTGTGAGTTATTATCAAGTTATTTCAAAATAATATTTTTAATATATTTTAAATGGTATTTTTTCCTGTGATGACAAAGTTGAACTTTTTCAGCAGCCATTACCTTAGTCTTCAGTGTCACATGATCCTTCAGAAATCATTCTAATATGCTAATTTGGTACTCAACAAACATTTATTTTTATTATCACTGTTGAAAACAGTTGCACTGCTTAATTATTTTGTGGAAACTGTTATTTTTATTTTTTGCAGTTCAAAAGAACAGCATTTATTTGAACTTAAAAACCTTTCTCTTTTTTTTTTTTTTTTCAAAAAAACTGACCCTAAACTTTTGAACAATAGTATATATAAGTCATCAACTGCTACCGATTACTTCAGTTACACATTCCAATCTGTAACTCGTCGATATATATTCAATTGGAGAAAGTGAGTTTTGCTTTATTCTCAGTGTTCAAATGAAGTGCACTGCTTAAATTATGATCTTCTACTTCTCTTGTACCATTTTTCTTGCATCTCTTCATAGACAAATGTAACACTTTAAGACAGACTAGACTACACAAATAAAATTAAATGGCTTACAACAATAGTCTAAAATATTTTTTTATAGTAGCAATCTCTACTTAAAGCTAACTGTCAGCAGAACTCTTTAAACAACTTTCTGAATAAATTGATTTTGCTTGTTAGAAAGGGTTTAAACAGAGTACTCACCACCATCTGATGCGGCCGACTGAAAGAGAAGAAAAAAAGACATGAATGAGCAATTGCCATCCTGACTTCGGTGGGGTAGAGGAGGAGAAAAAGAGGAGAGAGGTAAAGTTACTGAGCTGGAGAAAATGCCTGCAGGCATCTCAGCAGCCTCTCTCATCTTAACTGAACGTGTGTGATATGTGTTTGTTGAGAGGGGAGGGTTTTTACATATGGTCGTTGATGTAGCTGCGTGTAGTAACACACAGCTGTTCACACCTCTGCTCCGGTTACTGCCCCCAGAAACACACACACATCAAATGACCTGACCCAGGCCTGCCCAGACACTTGCAAAGACCACAAATTTAACAAAGAGCTTTAGTCAAGCTTTTGAGGTCATAAAAATGCTCCTGCATCTCTGAGCGTGGAGGCAAAACTGAATGAGAGGAAGAATGCAAACCAATATGCAAGTCTCCAGTATGAGGAAGTTGACCTACAGTATATGGTAAAACCATATAATAACTTATCTGATAGCCTATTCGTTTACATCAGCATCCCAGAGACCAACAGAGGTTTGTAGATCTGTGCGTGTGTGTAGGCTGGGAGCAAAGCACATGGACAAACACACACCGTGTTTGTTCAGTGGGAGGAAGTGTAACGGAATGAAGGCGGTTATTGGGACAGCAGACAAACACACAAATGAAACAGACTTTTGTGAGGTGGATACAAATGAAATTTTTACAAATGTGAAGGGGGATATAGAAGTTCTTTGTTGGCACATAATAAAATGATAGAATTAGATTCATGACTCACAGAACCTCTGAACAATGTTTACTGAGTGATCTCATGCATGAACTTGGCACTATTCTGTCGGTCTGGTGCCATTTAACCAGATGTATTTGTTGTGTAGAGGGTTTTAATTTCAGCCGTAGGCACTTTTCATTGTATTCACCACTAACTGAATGCCAAACTTATAGCCGTCCAAAAAATCTTTCCTTCTAGACACAGATGCACTCAGTGCATTAAAGGAATGTTCCAGGTTCAACAGTAATGCAGTTACAATGGACATCTAAGGGGCAAGACATTACAGAGCATTTAAAATCAGAAATGTGCAATTAAAATGACAAAACCTAAGCTGTACAGTTAATACTTTTAGAAACTAGCCAGATGTGATTATGCATATGCATAAATTATATATTAATAATTGTATATAATTTTGATATAAATAACAAGGTTAGGAAGCAGTTGTAATCACACTAGTGACACGTATAATGTTTAAGTATATCTATATTTTGGGAATATTAACATTTATTCTGGAGAAATGCCTCGCATGACTTCCACAATATGTTCAGCATTGTAAACTCCATTTTTGAGGGATGAGCCAAAATTATTTATGATGGTAAAAAAAAGAAAGAAAACTAAAAAGAAAGAATATTAAAATATTCTATATAATATTCTATATAAAATAGAAAATTAATGAAGAACAAATAAATAAATAAATGGATTTCATTGTTTGTGATTATGTTGTCATTTAGCTATGTTCAAATATCACAAACTGGTATTAATAGGAACATTTATATCTGTCTCTAATGGTAATGAGTTAATATAGCAGTTCATCAGCATTCAGAAATGGCACATTCCAGTCCCACTACATCACCATTATCAAATCTGAGCTCTTGTAGCGCTATCAACATTACTAACGGAGAGCTATTTATATGCTAATAAAAGACAAGGATTCTCAAAATGGAGAAGAGCCAAAAGCGGACACATATGACTTGATTCATTGTGGTTCATGTGAATGAGAGGAAGAATGCAAACCAATATGCAAGTCTCCAGTATGAGGAAGTTGACCTACAGTATATGGTAAAACCATATAATAACTTATCTGATAGCCTATTCGTTTACATCAGCATCCCAGAGACCAACAGAGGTTTGTAGATCTGTGCGTGTGTGTAGGCTGGGAGCAAAGCACATGGACAAACACACACCGTGTTTGTTCAGTGGGAGGAAGTGTAACGGAATGAAGGCGGTTATTGGGACAGCAGACAAACACACAAATGAAACAGACTTTTGTGAGGTGGATACAAATGAAATTTTTACAAATGTGAAGGGGGATATAGAAGTTCTTTGTTGGCACATAATAAAATGATAGAATTAGATTCATGACTCACAGAACCTCTGAACAATGTTTACTGAGTGATCTCATGCATGAACTTGGCACTATTCTGTCGGTCTGGTGCCATTTAACCAGATGTATTTGTTGTGTAGAGGGTTTTAATTTCAGCCGTAGGCACTTTTCATTGTATTCACCACTAACTGAATGCCAAACTTATAGCCGTCCAAAAAATCTTTCCTTCTAGACACAGATGCACTCAGTGCATTAAAGGAATGTTCCAGGTTCAACAGTAATGCAGTTACAATGGACATCTAAGGGGCAAGACATTACAGAGCATTTAAAATCAGAAATGTGCAATTAAAATGACAAAACCTAAGCTGTACAGTTAATACTTTTAGAAACTAGCCAGATGTGATTATGCATATGCATAAATTATATATTAATAATTGTATATAATTTTGATATAAATAACAAGGTTAGGAAGCAGTTGTAATCACACTAGTGACACGTATAATGTTTAAGTATATCTATATTTTGGGAATATTAACATTTATTCTGGAGAAATGCCTCGCATGACTTCCACAATATGTTCAGCATTGTAAACTCCATTTTTGAGGGATGAGCCAAAATTATTTATGATGGTAAAAAAAAGAAAGAAAACTAAAAAGAAAGAATATTAAAATATTCTATATAATATTCTATATAAAATAGAAAATTAATGAAGAACAAATAAATAAATAAATGGATTTCATTGTTTGTGATTATGTTGTCATTTAGCTATGTTCAAATATCACAAACTGGTATTAATAGGAACATTTATATCTGTCTCTAATGGTAATGAGTTAATATAGCAGTTCATCAGCATTCAGAAATGGCACATTCCAGTCCCACTACATCACCATTATCAAATCTGAGCTCTTGTAGCGCTATCAACATTACTAACGGAGAGCTATTTATATGCTAATAAAAGACAAGGATTCTCAAAATGGAGAAGAGCCAAAAGCGGACACATATGACTTGATTCATTGTGGTTCATGTGAAGGACATCTTTCTGTTATCTTACAAATGGGTTTGACCAGTGATACATGAAGTGCTAAGCATGGATGCTTTAGTGATGATCTAAGAAAGAAAAGTATCTTCAAATTATTAAAAATGTTTAAAAAAAAAAGTGCTTCCAAGCATTTCTTTTTCCACAACATTTGTAAAAAATATGAACCACATCAAATTAATTTTTTACTAGATTCTTAGATTTATATAACGTGGCTATGGAGTTGCTAGGAGTCCATCCCAAGTCTAAATGAAATTCTGATTATACTCTTCTAAGTGATATTTTAAGCGATATCCCCATTCCCCAGATAGCTTGTTTTTTTATTTCAGTTTATTATCTGTCAGCTGTCGCCAGAAATCACACATTTAGAAAAGTAATAGCACAACTCTCCTCAACAAATGCATGATTTGAGGAATCATTCATCTCTATAACAAGTTATGCACCAAAGTTTAATACATATAGTTTGAGGTGTATTCTTATCCTTATTCTGTAGTAAGAGCAATAATAATAGTGATGCTTTCGTTAGTTAGAACAACTAACAATATACAAATATTGTAGCATTCTATAAACATAAACATATGAAAACACTGCTAAAGCCTCGTCTGCAAAGTAAGTCTTTTTTCCATCACATCCCAGTCCAAGAATGCTCTTAACACAGTGTACAGACACAAGAGGGACGGCCCTGAAAAACCACAAGCCTCCAGGCCACTTCAAAGCATAAATAGTGAGTTGCACAGGCCTGCTTATGCCGAACAACTCAAACTAGAGTCCAGTAATAAGATTCATGAGTCTGAGCCCTTACTGTAACAATTTCAAACTGAGACCCCTAGATAAAGACTTTCTCTCACACAGTTCTACCAAGTCCACTGATGTAAACCTCACTCCTTATAAGACCAGAAGTGGCTTCTTCTATGCTTCTAATTGTAGTGAGGGATGAAGTTAGTAATGGGAAACAGAGAGAAGAAAGACCGAGAAGGGAAGAAAATGAGAAGCTATGAAACGGTGGAGCCTGAATACCGTTCAGTTTGTGCCACCACCTTGGTGTATTTGGTCAGAAACACTATGGCAACAATTCATCTCAGACCACAGACTGTGAGGCCACCAATGACACGGGTCTCAGGCAGGGGCGCTCTCTATATATATATCACACGCTCCGATGAGCAAACGTGTTATTAGACGGGGTTTCACAGCAGCAAATCTGGTAGGCGTACAGCGTGGCAGGTTTTAGCGGTGGCTTACAGACATCTGGTTGTTGTGACCCACCATGTGACTGAGTGACTTTTCTGTGAACTAATCAGATGCTTTGGAACTTATGAGAAGTAAAACCAAGGAACTGTATTTATGGACTCCAAGAGGAAATGATGAGGTAATTTCTGTGTTTAGAAGAAAACATGTTTGAGCTTGTTCACTAGAATAGCACAGGGAAAATCTCACTGCATGTTATCAAACCATAATGAGGCTCCTTTTCTTTCTTTGGTTCAAATATTCACCTTGACATTTGTCTGTGTATCAAAATTACACTGAAAAATATTTTTTCATAGTTGTAAAAACAAGATTATTGGAATACATTGGAAAATACATTTAAGTTTTTAGCTTCAAAACAAAAGATTGATTCGTTCAATTTTGTTGCTTGTTTTTTGTAATTGTTTGCGAAATTATGGTTGCTATTCTGTTGCTAATGTGTTCTGAATGGTTGCTAGCCTGTTGCTATTTGGCTGCTAAAGTTTTTTTTGTAGTTTTTATGTGTACATTGAAAAGTAGGATTTACTGTGAAACAATTTGTACAATTTGCAAAAGAAATTGCTAGTAAATTTCACAAATAATAAAGAAACAGCAAGTGTTACATTAAATTAACTGAAATAGTATTTTCTTGTAATAT